GTTAAAGCCGCATCAAGTTGTCAGCTAATACAAGAGTCTCTATTAAGAACTCGCCTCCTTAGTCTAGAAGTCTCTAGTATAAGGGTTGCCAATATAAGAGTACATCTATTTTTGCATGCTCGCTAGTGCTCTTACTAACCATCTAGGCTAACACAATCAACCAACATAAGTAACAATTTTAGAGTCCCTCAACAGTTGGGTGAGCAATACTATCCAACTTTTAACATAAATTATGCTAATCAAGATCAAATGCGATGTAGGATTTATTAGATTTTTATGATGATGTATGCAATTTGAATTTTCCATCATTAATATATTTAGTCACAGATATTTATTAATTAATATTTGTTGTGGTAACTTACAAATGAATGCAGGCCATTCCTCTCGTGCCCCAGAAAAGGATTATTCCCTTCCTGGCGATGGGCAGGATCATCTTTTTGATGTATTCAATGCTGTATCTATCATTGCAACTACATATGGGAATGGGATCATCCCAGAAATTCAGGTTAGCACTTTTTAACTTTTTCACTATTTTGAGTTCACAATTATTGGTACTATCCATAGCTTCAAGTAGGGTAAATAATGTAATTTCTTCTCTCAAATCATTTACCAAAAATTTTTTTAGAGCAACGGGTCTGTTTCGGACGGCCGTAGTGTTTTATAAAGTTAGTTGTGAAGTTGATGTAGAGAAAACAATTTCGCTACTATAATTGTAGAAAGAAGTTTTCCACCACAAGAATTTTTAAACAATTGTAAAAAAAGAAGCAAGAAAGTACTACCTAAATGAAATTATGATTGTTGTCTAAAAATCAAAGCAGACAAAAAACTGTTCCAAATCGACCCTAATTAATGACTCAAATTTTTTTAAGAAGATGTTATATAAAATATTTTCCAAAAATTGTCATTTTAGCATATGAAAACTCAACTAACTAGAGAGCTTTTTAAGAAATTATCAAAATAAGGAATTTTCATGGTATTTTTTAGATAAATTTAAAATTTCCATGCTGGTTCAATTTATTTATTAGAATTTACAAGAGTAATTATACCTTTGCAAATGAATGATAGCATTTCACATCGATAAAATTAGCTTGTTATTTAATTTATGTGATATCATAAAATAAATGAGGATCAAAATATATGAAAAAAAAATGGCCAATATCATTATTTTTCATATTATCTTTTATAAAAACTATGTTTAAAACATCCTTTTGCAGAAATTAATTTTTTGAACTGTTGCAGAATTTCCAAATCAGCACGTAAAGGTTTTATTCACTAATTTTAATATAATTATTTGATTTGAAATATTTATTTTACCACCTCAGGCAACTATTGCTCCTCCTGTGAAAGGCAAAATGTTCAAGGGCCTCTGTCTCTGCTACAGTGTGGTGATGAGCACTTTCTTTAGTGTTGCTGTCTCGGGTTATTGGGCATTCGGCAATCAAGCAAGAAGCAACATTCTCTTCAATTTCACCCCTGGTGGACGCACCCTAATTCCAAAATGGTTCATTGTTATGACCAATATATTCACAATTGTTCAAATTTTTGCAGTCAC